TTCTCCTCATACTCACCCTACCTACTTCACAGGGACAATGAAGATAAAATGAATTCAAGACCAGAAAAATACTTTGGAAGAAAAGAAGCACTGTATAATTATACTTGCAAGCTATAATTTTCCACATCACCCTTTTCATTCCAAGTTGTGTGTAAATCCAGAATTTAATGTTGTCTCTGTTCTGTGTTCAACTAATCAACTAAATAAGGCAGGGGAAAAGGGTGCTCCCATTTAGTTATATAAATTACAATTAGGGTAACTTGTTATTATAGCAAATTGAAAAGCAGCATGAAAAGGCCAGTGTGCGAGTAGGACCCACTGAAGCACAGAGCAAGCAAGGCAACATTATCAGATAGGGCAAGCTTGCATAGAATGAAATTGTGATGTCAGAGTTCAAACTGGCACACACAATGGTTAATTAACGCTTGGTGGTGGCAAAGAAGAGTTATATGTTCTGTATTATATAAACAAGCAAAAGATTAAATGGGAACCCATGCAAAAGTATTTCACGTCACACAGATCTCTCCAGCTGCCTATGTTACCGGACTTAAGGGGTTCACTGCTTGAGATGTTCTAGTCAAGTATGAAACATGGTTGTTGCAAGGTAGTTTTATTTACTTGCAGCAAGTAAAGGAGACAAAGGATTCATATCCAAAGCTGTCTCACTGAAAGGAGGGTTAGCCATTGCTTATATATACTACTTGATCATTACATGCTGATTTCTTCTTTGCAGTTGGCTTCACTTACCATGTTGGGTTTTTGTCAAGCTCATCCTGCTTCCAGTTGGTCTGCACAATACTGTGCTACATTTTAACATTTAGCAAGCATAGCATTTAGTAAAAATGGCCCAGACCTTGAGACCCTGGTCCCATCTAACACCTACAGAAAATATAAACAACAGTATCATCTTCATTTTAAAGAAATGTGCTCATATCCTAAACTAACCAAGGAACAGCTCCATGCTAACCTTCCCTGGCTAAAACAAACTATGTAGTACCATAATTCCTAGTCAGACTAATACACAGAATGTCTTTTCTTTCAGCCAAAGCATTTCTCTCAACAGAATGTCTTTTAAGGTAAACAATTAGATGGCTGTTTGGGTTTATTTTTCAGGATACACTGTGTATCCTCTTGCTTTTAAGACCCCCTCAAAATTGAGTTTTTGTGGGGGGATCAGCCACTTTTCCTCCCCAAGCAGATCATGTCTTGGTAGACTTATTCTCATCCGTGGCAGCTGGGAGGGCCCTGTGTGTGGAGCACCCCCCACCCCCGCACAAGTTTTTATCGGTGATTCTAAGAACATGTGTTTGTAACAATTGATGTGTAATAGGTGAATCTCACATATTAAATGTTCTATAGCATGTGTTCAGAAGATTATACACTATATAAACTATTCAAGTCATATAAAACTATTTTTAGGGTCTTTTTAACCGAGAAGAATAATATTCAGCACATTTCTCCTCCTGTGATTCATACCAAGCAAGCTTTGTTCTGTTTTTTATTTTCTTCTACAATAGTTTCATATTTCTCCTTCATTTCTGCCCATTCTAGGTGAAGCAGTTCTATTTCTAGATTTTCTGGGCTAGCAGCTCCTAGATGCTTTAAAAAATCCAAAGCACTATTAGGTATCTCTGATTCTTCATATAAGGTTACTAATACCTGTCAGCATGTTCAGCACCCTTGAAGTCTTAAAGTAACTCCAGAACTGCTCATGCTTTGAGTCAGCAGCTTTATAATGGGCCATAATAATAGTGGCAGCTGCATAGCTGGCTCCAGAGACTGTGGCTGATGAGCTCTGAGCAGTACTTCCCTCTGCTATCATCTTTGTCTAAGCTTTCATCCCTTCTTGCCTGGATTATTACAACAGTCTCCCAACTAGGCTCCCTGCTTTGAAGCATCCTCGCCCCACTTCAGACACTGTTCAACATTGCCTGTATGATCCTGTGAAATAGAAATCAGACCATGTCAGGAGCTGGGGGACTGGGTGAAACAGATGTAAAGACTGAGAAATACAAATTGGTAATTACAAAATAGTCATGGGGATGTAAAGTGCAGCAGAGGGAATATAGTCAATAATACTGGAATAACTATGTGTGGTGGCAGGTGGGCACTGGAAATATTGGAGGGAATACTTTGTAAAGTATGATTGTCTAATCACTATGCTGTACACCTGAAATCAATTCAAAATAATATTGAAAATAAACTGTAATTGAGAAAAATAAAAAATGCAGGAAAAGGGTAAAGGTACAGAAAGAAAGGAATCAGACCATGTCACTCCTGCACCAAATTCTTGCTCAGAATAAAAGCCAAAAACAGTATAGACTGTCTACAAGGCCCTACATGATCTGGGTCTCCGTGCCTCTCAGATCTCACCACCCTTGTTCATAGCACCTCAGTCACAAAGGCCTTCTTGCTGTCTTTGGAACATGACAGGCAAGCTCCTGCTTCAGGGCCTTTGCCTGTACTTTTCCCTCTACCTGGAACATTCTTCCCCTCACTATCCACAGGGCTCATCCTCTTCCTTAGTCTTTTACTCAAATGTTTACTCACTAAGACATCCCCTGGCCACCATATCAATCCCACCCTGACATTTTGTATCCCCTTTCCCTACTTCCATTTTTTTCTTCCTTGGCAACTTACATTATAGCATTACATGTATTGTGCTTATTTATCTTATTTTCTAGTCCTATTAGAATGTAAAATATGAGACCAAGGGATTTTGTCTGTTTCATTTATCATTTTATCCCAATACCTAGCAGTGCCCTGTACACAGTAGGCACGTAATATTTGAATGCATTAAGAGATTTCAGCAGAAGGATACCATGATCATAATTATGTTTTAATATGATAACTCAGTGGGTTAAGAAGCTATGGCAGTAATCAGGGGCCACAGTGTACAACCATGCGGGTTGCATACTGCACAACTCAAGTGAAATGATGAAAGTTACTCACCCCTGGGGAGACATAAAGGGCTACTAGCCCTAGTGAAAACCTTGGAGGTAATTAGAAGTGGTCAGTCTGGCTATGTTTTGAAGGTAGAGCCTACTATGATTTGCTGACAAATTAAATGTAAGATGTGGAAGAAGAAAGAATTACAGATATTTTCAAGATTTTGTTGCAGACCAAGTCAATCCAACTGACAGATTAAGAAGACATTCTGATCATAAGAGCTTACCACATTTTGAATCAGAGTATACACACTGAGAAACCTGATCCTTACCAGGGCCCCTTCAAATCCCATCTCCAGCTATACTTCTTCCATCTACTCATTATACCACTTGCTACACCATCCCTCAACAAGCCCTATACTTTTCCAATTTACTGGTTTTGCTCATCCTATACAAAATCTGACTTCTTCATCTGACCAAGTCCTACTGACTCAAATTAACACCTCCTTCAAGATGTCTTCAAATTAACACCTCCTTCAAAATGTATTTCTTGATCTCTAAGTCAAAAAATCAATCTCTCCCCAAATTCACATTTCACTACTTGCTTCTGTGCATCTGTAACTGCACTTGCCTAGAGAGGATACTATTTAGAGGTATGTATTTCTGTTTACAACCATTCACAACACCCATGTAACTACCAATCCCCACCTGGACTGTGAGTGCCCCACACAAAGGACCCACCTGTTGTACCACCGATTTCTGGCTCCTGCAAAGTATCTATTATGGTGCCTGACAGGAATCGGAGGCTCTAGAAAAGTGTATTGGACAGAGAGTATGAAAGCTACACACATTTCAGAAGTCAGCTTCCTTGCCCACCACGGGTATATGCCCTGTACCGGACCGGAAGCCAACGCTTGGGTAGAAAGTACATTAGCTGCGTCATACAGGATCCCAGCAGCAAGAGGCTTGCAGGTGGCCATTTGCAATGAATTATTTGCCTCTGCACCCCCTCACAGTGGGGTGCAAGGTTAAACGGAGATTCTACATCAGTTGACTATGTTCAGAATTTCTATGACCAGCTGGAAAAAACAGCACAGAGCTCAACTACACCAGCAGCAACAACCGCTCTCCCAGCAGAGACCTGCACCAGAAGCTCAAAGACCGCCCCAAACCGCTGGGTCTCAAGCCTTCTTCCACCGCGGAGCAGAGCGTCCGACGCCTGAAATGCGCAGGCGCCGCCGCACGCAGTACCACGCAGCCAATCTCAGAGCCAACTTTCCTAGGCGGGCCTGAGGCGGTGGCCGCAGGGGCTCGCCCAGAGCCGAGCTCCCATTGGCTGAAGCGCGTGCCCCACGAAGCTCCGCCACATTTCCACCCTTGGGCCCCCTTGGCTCCCGTCCTCCCTCCCCTACACTAGACTCCCAAGCCTGCCCCTCAGCGCTGCCACCTTGCTTGGTCCTCTTCCTTTCCCAGTCCTGTGGCTCACCCAGTACTCCAGCAGCCGCCGGCTTGGCTAGTGCTCAAGACAGCTGTACCGGAGGCCTGACCTCTGTCTAGCATTCTTCCCAAGGCCACAGTACTAGGGAAGGGAGCATTCCTCACGTCCTTGAGAACAGAGCCTCCTGGGGGGCACCGGAGCGTTAGGAGTGGTGCGGGGCCTCAAGAGGAGATATGGCGGAGAGAGGAGTAGTGCTCAGGGCCCGGGACTGGAAAGCAGCAGTACAGTGTGACCTTGGTCCGGTTCATTCCCTATTTGGGTCGGGACTCCTTTCTGTAAAATGCAGCAGCAGGGAAGGATGAGTCCGGAGAGTTTTATGGGAGCCTTAGGACCGTTTTTTTCAACCTGGACGTCCTCCTGCAGAGCACCTTATACCCTTATACCGAATAATGGCGAGGCTCCAAGGTGGACAGAAGGCCCAGGAGGGCGGCGGGTGAGGATCATCAGAGGCTGAAACAGGTATGGGCGGGATCGGTCCATCTTACTATCTTGTCTACTCCGCAGCCGCCCGTCCCACCAGCAACCCTCGGCAGGGAAGGGGCTGCGCGAGGCCAAACCAAACTAGGCAGAGGGCGCCCACGCACAGCAGCAGAGATACAGACCCCTCCTCTTACCCCAAACCAAATGGGCAGGGGGTCCCAGCTGCGGAGCGCTTTGCTGGCGCGCTTGCCTTAATCCGGCGCTTCACAAGTACTCGCGCTCCTAGCTTGGTGGACGGACTGGGGCACTGCAGCCGTTTCCTTCTCTAAGGCCCTTCACCTCTCCCGAGGCCTCAGATACCCGGATGCTCCTAGACCCCCTCGGGTGCTGGCGTTCTGGCTGCGCAGGGGGTCGCGATGCGGGTCGCGATGGCGGACGTTGCCAGGGCGGGGAGTGCTCCCGCGCCACCTCCTAGGCTCTGGGGCTTCCGGCCTGGCCCTGCTCCAACAGAAGTTCCCCCAATTGTTAAGCGCCCAAGCTACCCGTCCTTGCTAGGCGCCCCCTGCTGCCAGTCGGTCTCACAGCTAAACCGGGTGCAGATCTCACCCCAGTCCGGTTCCTGGAACTGGCCGGGGAAGAGAAGTCACCGCTTCAGGAAATGAGGAAATCCTGGTGTGGAAGAGGCTCCTTCCAGGTCCTATGCATGTTTGCTGTCTTTAGAGCTCACCAGGGTTGGTTGGTTGGTATTTATTATTTTAATACTTAGTATTTTTTTAATTGGACATCTTGGCCAACAAATATCTTTGTAAAGATACAGTCTTAGTGGGGCTGGGGGGAGGGGAAAGGGGGAATATTGGGACAACTGTAATAGCATAAACAATACAGTATTTTTAAAGATACAGTCAAATATTTTTCTTCAAAATGTAAGGCTATCAACATTATTTGTGTTCAATCCAACACGTGTACATATAACTAAAATAATAACAACATAGTAACACCAAAAATTGTAAGTTATGGGCTAAAGAGTCATTCACATTTGAGCTTATTTTCATAAGGGTGTGTCCCTGTTTTGCATGATAGGAATTGTTGTGAAATCTATATAGAGTCCAAAGAATATACCAATATAACCACATATAGTTTAGGACTAGATAATGCTTTTAAATTCCATTGTGTATAAAATAGATTTAATTATGTTGAAACTGATGTACAGAAGTAACTCAGTTACCAAGTGTAGCAAGCAAAATTTCAGCATTCAAATTGCATTATTGCATAACCATTGCTATGTATTCATAACAAATTCAGTAACTCTCAGGAAATTAAATTCTACTGAGTCTTGTATGAGTGTATAAACTACCACAGTATTCACAAATTTAGGAATCCACCAAGCTCCCAGAACATGTTTCAAAGGTACAACATGACCTTATACTGTAGTTCCCTAGTCAGCGTAATACTTAGAGGCATCCCTTTCACTCTTGATAGGCTCTCTTTAGATGAGAGATTAAATGGTTTCCCTGCTCGGTTAGTTAGTTTTTAAATTTATATTTTAATCAGATGAAATTTATTTAAAGATTTGCTCTGAAGAGTTTTTAAAAATAGTTGAATAGTCCAGCTTCCCAGAGTTGCAGCAGTACAATGGCAGAAGATGGTGGGCACAGATCAGGCTGCCTGACCTACAACAAGCCTCCAGAATAAGAAATGAGCTGAGGAGGAAAGGAAATTATTGGGGCAAATTATTGGCAGATAAGGACTGATTGGAAAGGGACCAGGAAGATGAAAATGGGGGATGGGCAGTGTTGCAGAGTTAACTGGCCTGGTGGGGCTTTAAAGAAACCTGTCAGCTCCATACCATGAGCTTCAGGTCCAAGGCTAGGTCTCCTTTATTCCCAGCTCTTGGCACACAGAGCCTTGAAAACTGGCACAGTCATGGAAGGAGGATGCATTTCACAGACAGACTCAAGCCAGAGTAGTTGCTTCAGTGCTGTGTTTCAAAAGAGTTACTCTCTGTATAACAGCCATAACAATGAACTGCTACTTTGAGCCACCAGGTTACACTTTTAGGGTTAGATATTGCTGGAAAAGCAGTTAATTAAAGGGGAATTAATATCCCACCTAGGAAAACTGTAAGTCCTACTTTGGACTGAGGATTAAATGAAAATATAGTCCTATTGATAAAGACAGGAAAAGAATATTTGACCTGCCTGTGGTTATATCAGACTCTTCCTGTGGCTAACCTCATCTTCCCAGCCTATCTTTTTACCCCAGCTTTGCTGTGACAACCAGCTTCATACAGGTGTAACCCAAGAGTACCTTGCCTCAGCTGCACCTGGTATCTTCTTGCCTCAGGGCTTCTCTGTCCCTGTGGCCCGGGACTCCTTTAAGAAGAGACTGCCATTCTGACATGTGCATAAACCCGAAAGTGCAAGGGAACTAACACCTCATGGGACAACCCTTGACCAAGGCAGACAGGAGCTGGTGGAGAAACACTCTCCTTTTCTTCTTGAAGTGGGAAATTCTGCTCCTAAGGTAGAACTCCAGTTGCCCATGGTAGTGCCCAACTTGAGCAACTCAATAATGCACCCTTGGATTGCCTTTTTCTCCCTCCACCCCTTGCCTGTTTGACTCTTCCCAGTCTTCCACTCCTGTTTCTTGGGATTCATTCCCAAAATAAACTACCTGGACCAAGTCCTTGTTCAGGGTCTTCTTGGGGAAAACTCAGATTAAGCCAAAAATTAACCCAAAATACATATCTCAGTCCACTTTCCAGAACTCATTCTCACCAGAGCTTTCCCAGCCTGCTAACAAGGAATTGATTTGTTCAGTTTGAGCTTTTGCTCCTTTTCTTTCCCAGTTGCCTCGCCCTCCAGGACATCACTAATAAGCTCTCAGAGACAGGCAAATCCCCTCAGAAGATCCCACCACCAAGAGAATCACAATGTTTGCTCCTGTCCCTGTATCAGCAACAAAGACTCCCAGGAGAGAGGTCCCACTGAAGGGCTAGACTAGGTAAGAGTCTCACAAAGCCATTCTCAGCCCCACCTTAAACCTCTCCCCTCCTTTCATGGTCCTGGCTGCTCACTTTGAAACTGCAAAAAGTCAGCTCTGGGGTTGAACACGGATGCAGAAATGGTGGGGGACCCAGGTCACTCCCAACACAGCCTGTGCCAAGATGCTGTCCCCTTCCTACGGCCCCCTACCCCACCCCCCAAAAGCAATTCCTTTGCCTGGAAAAGAGGCCTCAGGCCAGGGTCTTAGGTACTTAGCATACTTTCATCTAATTTCAACACCAAGAGAGTGTTGTTGCTAATTATCAAGTTAGGTTTGGGAGAGAAAGAGCTCTTAGTCCCTGCCTTCAAAGAGGTAAATGAGATATGCATATAAGCTAAACAAATTATTAGAAGTTTCCTGTAAGTCTAAAAAAGGGACATGTCAGTGTAGTGGGAGTTCTGGCAGGTGTTCAGGACAGGCTTTGTAAAAGAGGTAGCATCCTAAAAGACTGTTAGTAGGAATGAAGCACCCTTAGAAGATACCACTGGTCAGAGAGCCATAGTGGTTTCTCCTGTCCCTGTATCAGCTCCTAATTGCTTCCCAGCTCACACCCTTCTTGAGTCCTAGCTCAAGTTACCCATTGCCTCATCTTCCTAGGCCCCAGCCCTCCCATGTTAGGTCTGGCCCTGCCCCATCTTTGAATACCCCTGGTCTTCTCTGCTTTCAGTGTTAAGCATTGAATGTCAGATGGTGCAGTGAAATCCTGCAGAGAGCCAGTCACCTCAAAGCCCTGCAGGACCCCATCCACATGTGCAGTGCTCTGAGTTTAGTTCTGCTGGAGGTAAAGAATAATATCGCCATCTCATACTATCTCAAACCCACAGTCTTCTGTTTGTCTCGATGCAATTGAATTTTCCTTAAAAAATTTTTTTTGGGGGGGCAGGAAATCTAACCCTTAACCTGAAGAATTTTTGAACTATCAAGTGGCTTTTTCTATAATTGACAGTGAAGGAAAGAAAAGGCCCGACAAAGTATTTTAAAACAGCTGTGACGCTCAGAATCTGGTGTGCTGAAAAGAGCCCATGATCTTCACATAACTGTAATACTGAATTCTACCAGTGAGTGAGAACTGGAGACCCAGTGTTTTCCCTGAAGTGAATGAGCAAGGAAGACAAGTTCTGGGACCTTAAGGGAGAAAGAGGAGCAGCATCAGTACCTGCATCCCAGTACCCTTTCTGTCTCTTAACTTTTTTAGATTTAATTAATTAAAATGTTTGTTTAAGCCACAGAGTTGGGGGTCATAGACTGGAAATTTAAGCAAAATTCTTATGAGATAATTGGGATCTTTGAAGAGGGTAAAACATAGGGAGATTAAAAAAACAACTGTGACCCCACCTCTGTTCATCCCACCCCAAGCTACAGCAACCGATAAATCTTCCTTCCTTCAGGTGATGTGTACTGAGCTCTTATTATATCCCAGGCATTGGGCTTTGTTTTTGGAACAAATACCATAATAACCCAGTGTAGGTTCCTGTCTTCAGTAACGCAACTTGGCAGTCAGTGACTGATTGCTGTGTACCACACACTACGCCAGGTGCCTTGTGTGCATTACTTCACTTAATCTCTGCAACAGTCCCAAATGCAGCCAGATTATTATCCTCATTTTGCAGCTGAGGAAGTTGAGGCTTCGAAAGGTTAAATAACTTGCCCACAGCAACACAGCCAGGAAGTGACAATGACAGATCCGACCCAAGTCTGTCCCACTAAGAGGACTTTTTTAAGCACACCACCAATTGTCTGAAGGTTTTTGCTTTGAAAGACAAGGATAAAAGTCCACATTTATATGCTATTTGGAGAGCGTAATTTTTTTAACCAGTTGGACATTGTTTCTGTGAGTAATTTAACAGAAGCTGGAATTAGAAATTATATGGCAACTGCTTTTAGTGAGGATAATACAGGTGCCATGATCTGATACCCTCAATTAGGAAAAGTAATTATAGATCCTAACTGATCATATAAACTTTGAAAGATCAGCACACAGGATCCTCTCCAGGAAAGTTACAAGCCAGATACACCTATAATCCTCTTAATTTGCAGTTAATGGGGTATAAAAACACCCCAACAGACCCTTCCAGGCTTTATATGTGTTATTTCAATGCTTGCCTTTAGCTAGGAAGGGAATTCTCATACCCATAATAACTGAAGCCAACTAATGATAAGATACAATTTGGAGTTTTGGATGTTTGTGTGTTTGTCATTGAGGCAAAATTCAGCTTTGTAACTGTTTAAGCTTAAAATGTCTGTGAGTTTGGCCTTCTGACAAGCAGAGAGGTCAAGGATAGATGCCTCTGCTTGGGGGCACATAAAAAACATTACACTAGGCCCTGGTTGGCGTAGCTCAGTAGATTGAGCGTGGGCTGTGAACCAAGTGTCACAGGTTGGATTCCCAGTCAGGGTACATGCCTGGGTTGCAGGCCATGACCCCCAGCAACTGCACATTGATGTTTCTCTCTCTCTCTCCCTTCCCTCTCTAAAGAGTAAATAAAATCTTTAAAAAAAAAAACATTATGCTAAAGGGCA